AGCATGTCGTATAAAATGGTGTAAACAAACATTGGGATAGTGAGATACAAGATGATTAGAACATCATAACTATACAAAGTATGATTCAAGTGTTTTTAACTTACTCATACTTTAATAAACCAATACTAACTAAATAATAAAACCTCAAGGATGAAATTCTAATGAAATTAGTAAACTAATCAATTAATCATCCGTAAAATGCGGGTTTGAAAGCCAGCTTTCTTATCTTTAAGCGAGCTTCTGAACTCAAACGCAGGTTTGATAAAATTCATGCCTTTTGAGGGTAACCTTTAGAAAAATAAAAGTGACCTCATTTCCCAAAAACTTTACTAAATTTATTATTTACTCCCTCTGTTCAGAATTATTTGATGTTTAAGGTTTTTGTACACAGTTTAAGGATTCATTTAATTTTTATTTTTTCTATATAAAAATATTATTTATAATCTATTTAAATATCATTCAGCCAATAAGAAGACAATCTGCAGAATATAAAAGGTCAAAAACTATAAAAATTCATTAAATTTTGCATTGAAAAGTGAGAACATCAAATAATTCTGAACAAAAAAAACCTTCTAAAACATCAAATAATTCTGAACAGAGGGAGTAAGATAATAGTCACACTTCGAATATAATGACGTAATTAAGCTAGTCGTTTGTATTGGGATCAATAATCGTTATCAAACCAACTAATTGTTGGAATTTTTGATGAAAACAAAATTTGGCTTCCCGTTTGCTAATAATTAGAGTACAATAAAAAAAAAGATTGATACATAATTAACTATATACGTCCTGTTAATAGTGATGCATGATAAATTGGTACTGAAATGATGGAATATGGTAAAGAATAAAATAAAGTGTTTGCGACAATCATAAATGCTTAAAAGAATACTCCCTCTGTTTCATTATAGTTGATTTTCTGAATTTTTAGACACAGATTAAGAAAGCTATAAATGCTCAATTATTTACTGTTTATTTTCGTTAATTAAGTTACTTTTACAACTGATTTAATTATTTTTATTATTATTTTTTCTTTTCTAACTGTGCATTAATGGTGTAAAACAACATGCGTTAATATTATTCATTCAATTTAAAGAAGAGATATGCATTAATTAGATGTAGGAAATCAAATATTATGAAACAAGAAAAAAAACCTAGAAAATCAACTATAAAAAACAAAGGGAGTATTGTTTTGAACGAATGGCAGTAAAATTTACTAATCATATTCATATCACGTGCATAATATAGAACTTAACTTTTCAGTAATATAAGAAAATGAAATGAAAAAGAAAATATAAGAAAATGATAAATGCAGTAATTTGTTTTTTGTCCACATGATAAAATGCAATGCATGGTAATAGAATACGGGACTCAAACCTTAATTTTTGATTAAAATAATGAAAAAATGGAAAACCATTTATCAACTATCGGTAATCTATATAATTATTTGTGTAGTGATTTGTTGATAGTATTGCGCTCACAACGAGTTTCACATTTTTTTGTTTACGTGTCAGCTCCAGAATGAGTTTCGGCTGCAAAAAGACCATTTAGTCCATTTTATAATTACATGTTATTTTTATTGGTTTTTATCTGATTATGTGTAAAAAAACTTAAAACAAACCAGTTTTAATTATTATGGTTTAATGCTTAATTCTGTAGTCAATCAAACCGTTTTCAAATTTATATTAAACCATTTAGAAAAAATTAGACAAAAACGTTTTTTTTTTAAATAGAAATTTCTATTTCTTATGTTTCCGAAATTTAGAAAAAATCTAGCTAAAATGTTAAAAGAAACAAAAATTGGAATAATTTAGAATGTCATTGCAAAATAAAACAAAAAAAAACACAAATTTATGCTAGAATATCACTAATTCTTATAGTGTTTACGAATTCTTATGTTTATAGTGTATATGTATTGATTTTTATAATTTTTATCAAACTAAAATTTAGTAAAAATCTAAAAAAAAGTAAAAAAATAAAATAAATGAAATGTATATATCTAATGAAATGTCGTCAATTATGATATGTAGAATAGGATTATCGATTTCTTATCTATATACTTCAAAAAGAATTTTTAACACTTTTTTTAAAATGAAAAGCTTATTTGTAAATTTCAGATTCTTCTAACTTAGAACAGAGATAAAAAAAAATATTCTTAAAATTAATTATTTATAAAATTATATTTGGTAGACATATATAGTCCACGTAAGTCGTGGGCAAATTAACTAGTACTTATTTGTGTAGTGATTTGCTGATGTGTTGCGCTCACAACGAGTTTCACTTTTTTTTGTTTACGTGTCAGCTCCAGAATGAGTTTCAGCTGCAAAAAGACCATTTAGCTATTTTACAACTACGTGTCATTTTTTTATTGGTCTTATCTGATGATGTGTAAAAAAAACTTAAAACAAACCAGTCTTAATTATTATGGTTTAATGCTTAATTCTGTAGTCAATCAAAATCGTTTTTAAATTTATATTAAACCAAAATTTAGAAAACATTAGACAAAAACGTTTTTTTTTTTAAAATAGAAATTTTCATTTCTTATGTTTCCGAAATTTAGAAAAAATCTAACTAAAATGTTAAAAGAAACAAAAATTAGAATAAAATTTAGAATATCATTGCAAAACAAAACAAAAAAAAAATACAAATTTATGCTAGAATATCACTAATTATTATAGCGTTTACGAATTCTTATTTTTATAGTGTACATGTATTGATTTTTATAATTTTATATAACTAAAATTTAGTAAAAATCTAAAAAAGTAAAAAAATAATAATAAATGAAATATATATATCTAATGAAATGTCGTTAATTATGATATGTAGAATAGGATTATCGATTTCTTATCTATATACTTCAAACAGATTTTTTAACATTTTTGTTAAAATCAAAAGTTTATTTGTAAATTTCAGATTCGTCTATCTTAGAACAGAGATAAAAAAAATTAATTTTCTTAAAATTATTTATTTATAAAATTATATAGACATATATAGCCCACGTGAGTCGTGGGCAAATTAACTAGTTTTTGATTAATTTTTGCAGTTTGAGTAAATATACATTCATCAATAAAAAACTCAAAGATTAGATGCCAATGGAGATTTACCAATGATCAAATATGTTGAATATATATACTGTGTTTCTATAATGCTGCACTGAATTGAGTAAAATTCACTCTTCATGATTGATAGGATAAAAGAAAAAGTAACATGATGGAGAAACTTATTCATAAATCATAATAATTAATACATATGCCGTTTGATCGATCATTCAATATTAATTCGGCTTTAATTTTTATGCTATGCTTAGAGACGTATACATATGTTCAATATCTAGTCTCCCATCCGAGGTATTCTATTAAAAATCTAAAACTTCTTAGATACATTATACTGTATTAAGGTTTTGAATATTTGGTCCGTTTACCACATTTGATGCGGTAAGATCATATTATAAGTTTTAACCATATACATTAATACAAAACATATAATAGTGTGAGTGTGTGACCGTTCTATGGCAAATGCAAAATGCAAAACAAGAGGAAGGAGAAAGGCACGTGGAGAAGGGAAGAGCATGAGAGCCGACAAAGAGCATCTTTTAAGACATGGGTTTGCGTCCACAAGAGTCATGCCATTGCCTCTCTCTATCTCTCTCTTTGCACATTCACTTCCAACACTCTCTTCTCTCTCTGTGCACATTCAATTCAACTATCTCTTGTCTCTCTCTCTCGTGCTTTCTCCCTTTGGGTTTGAGATTTGTCAGCGCCTTCTTCGCGTCTTCTTATTACTTACTTCACTCTCTCCAATGCCATATCCACACATCACATCCTCTATCTCTTTCCTTATATATAATATTATTATATAATAAAATTTATCTACTCATCGATCATGCCAAGAAGGCTAGCATTCTATATAGTCTTAATTACACAATTTAACTATATATCTCACTACTTAGTGTACTTAGCGAATGGCCATACCCTGCGTTGCCCTAGAAGTTAGAAGATTCTTATTGCTAGCCTTGAAGAGAACCACTAACATTCGCATGATATACATAACATACCAACACAAATACACACATATACAATTTTGTTGAGAATTCGCGAGCGAATAAGAGATAAACTTCTAAAACATCATAACAAAAGAGAGACCGATTGAGGTAAATACCTTCGTATCAAGAATATTTTGCTTATTATTGATTGTATGGCTGAATGGTTAATAAATTCTATAAAAAAGTTTATATAAGCTCCAAAAAACTGATACAACTATAAAATGTAGATTTACAAAAATATTTCATTTTCTCGGATATATACCACATACTACGAAGCTTCATGCAACATTATTTGCTTAGGAATCTTATGATTACTGATGTTTGATTTAGAATAACGCTATAATGAATGTTGTATTGGAAAGAAACGAAGTTCAATGTCTACACAACAGAAATAAAACAAAGTAAAAAAAAAAATCACATTGTATACATCGAATTACTAGAAATAACAATGCAACACTCATGTAAAAGTAAAACCTAGCTACATACAGTAATCGAAAACGATTTGTAGAGATTTTAAACCCGGAAGAGAGCGACCGAAAAAAGGATGGCGTAGAGGTGGGACCAAAGCACCGCCTAAAACATGAATTGAATATGATGTCATTGTCATAACTCATAAGCACAAGAAAAAAACAAAAGCTACATCTTTCTTCTCTCTCCTCCTAACCCTAATTTACCAATCACCAACCAAAACAAAATTAAGCAGACCACCACCCCCACAAACTCCTCAAAACCCCAACACATCTCACATAAACTAGAAATAAAAATTAGAAAAAGAAAAAGAGGAAGAAATAAAAACCCACCAAAAGCCCTTTTCACTTCCTCCAAAGTACAACTCAGATCAAAAGAAGATTAGAAGACAAAGAAAGAGAGAGAGAACCTTACCAAATCAATCAATGAAAGAATAAAATGATGAAGAAAAATCCAGCTTGATACTTGTTGTGAAACATTATTTCTCCTCCTCTTCCATCTAGAGTCTCTCCTAGGTCAAAAATCATCATAATCGACTCTCATCTTTCCCTCGCCGATTAATCTTTAAAGAATGGATCCAGTTCAGTCTCATGGATCACAAAGCGCTCTCCCTCCTCCTTTCCACGCTAGAGACTTCCAATTACATCTTCAACAACAACAACAACAACAGCAGCAACAACAACAATTCTTTCTCCACCATCATCAGCAACAAAGAAACCCTGATCAAGATCACGAGCAGCAAGGAGGAGGGTCGATGAATCGATCCATCAAGATGGATCGCGAAGAGACAAGCGATAACATGGAAAATATCGCTAATAATAGCGGTAGCGAAGGTAAAGAGATGAGTTTACACGGCGGAGGAGGAGGAGGAAGCGGCGGTGGAGGAAGTGGAGAACAGATGACAAGAAGACCAAGAGGAAGACCAGCAGGATCCAAGAACAAGCCTAAAGCTCCAATAATCATAACACGAGACAGCGCAAACGCGCTTCGAACTCACGTCATGGAGATCGGAGACGGATGTGACATAGTTGACTGTATGGCCACGTTTGCAAGACGCCGCCAGAGAGGCGTTTGCGTTATGAGCGGCACAGGAAACGTTACTAACGTCACAATACGTCAGCCCGGATCTCCACCTGGCTCGGTCGTTAGCCTCCACGGCCGGTTTGAAATCTTATCCCTCTCGGGATCTTTCTTGCCGCCACCTGCGCCCCCTGCAGCCACCGGACTAAGCGTTTACCTAGCCGGAGGACAAGGGCAAGTAGTTGGAGGTAGTGTTGTGGGACCCTTGTTGTGTTCAGGTCCTGTGGTGGTTATGGCAGCGTCTTTTAGCAATGCGGCGTACGAGAGGCTGCCCTTGGAGGAAGATGAGATGCAAACGCCAGTTCATGGCGGAGGAGGAGGAGGAGGTGGTGGTAGTGGTGGTGGTGGTGGTGGTGGTGGTGGTGGAATGGGATCTCCGCCGATGATGGGGCAGCAACAAGCTATGGCAGCTATGGCGGCGGCTCAAGGGCTTCCACCGAATCTTCTTGGTTCGGTTCAGTTGCCGCCGCAGCAGCAGAATGATCAACCTTATTGGTCTACGGGTCGGCCACCTTATTGATTAGATTACTACTAATCTATATATATTTACACACATGAATCGAATGTAGCTATGAATTTATATATATGTAGCTATTTACTAATAGATTTTACATATATATAAAGCAAGCTAACATGGAATATGGTTAAAAGGAGGTGTACACGAAGTATGATGAGAAGATGAAGACGGCGATGTATGATGAAGGAGCTTTTCCGATGTGTTTGTGGATCAACAATTCAGTAGAGATGTTTCAGGTTCTTCTTTGTTTTTATTTTTGTTGATTTCGTTTTAGTTTGTAGAATTTTATGTTTAAGGTTGTATTTTTCTTTATTGAGCTTCCTTTGATGAATTTGATTCTTGATTATCTTTTCCTTGTTTACAAGAATTAATTTCCCAAATTAAACTATATTTGGGTAACGAATCGTTCCGTTAAATATGGTAATTCAACTCCCATGGAACTTTTTTTTGTAATCAACATTTTATGGTATTTTACCCAAAAAACATTTTATGGTCTTTCTTGTGTTCCAGAAAATGTGAACTTTAATTTCAGTTTCAGTTGAAATGGCATTGAGAAGAAAAAAATTGCATTCATCAATCACGCGGCAAGCGTTTTCCAAGTAAAACTTTTAAATTCTTTATTTATGGTTAATCAGCATCATTTACAGGGATAAATATATGACAACGTTTACGTTATACTATAGTTCAACTCGCTATACTTCATGAAAAACATATTTTTAACACTCCTCATACAATATAAAAAAACTTTAATATATATATTTCTATTTATGCAATTACATTTATTTATTTAAATTTATTTTCGTTATAACTATAAATAACGAGAGCGTGAAATCAGCGAATAACAGACCAAGGGATATTTAACACGACATCGTCCTCAGTGGAACCAGATGCAGTCTACTGACGTCGTTTGAAGGTTTGAAGTGGGCTTAAGGCCTCGTTCATGATGAAACATGCCCAGTTTTTCAAGGGCTTAAGAAACAAATGTTAGCTTCTTAGCATATATATACATCACTCCATCTGTTTTATTTTGGAGAAATGAAAAATAACTGAGTTCTACGTCTAGTTATTAAAAAGGAAGATTACACCAAGAAGTCAAGAACACTACCCTAAGAACACTATACCTTAAGAGATATAAAAAAAACGAAGTAACTTGGACAAAAAAATGAAGCGACTTAGACAAAACTATTTTATCAATAACCTGAGACCAATCAATTAAATAATTATTAGTAAATTTGATATTGGGTTTTAAGCGTTTGTATTAAGAGGAATTCTCAAATTAAAATGAACATGAAAAAAAAGATGTTAATTAACAAGATAAAAAAAATATTGATGGATGACAAAATTACAAAGGAAATTTGCTATAATTTAGCAGTAAAATCAAGATGTATAGGCAAATCAACTCATCAAATTTTCATTGAAATATGATCCACACAAGGAAAAACATTGGTCATTAGTTGGCCACATGTATGCAATTGATAGTGTTACTCATATTATGTTAATAGATTTTATATGGTTACACTCTATTCGTTATCCAGAATTATATAAGAAACTGAGAATACATACCTTCTCTAAAAACAAATCATTACGGTAGTGTCTATTGAATGATTTCATAATGTGTTTAGGAGAACATCAATGCTCAAAATGTTATTGTAAAAGGTTTTCTTGCTGATTTTCAGTGCAAAAATAGGTCAAAGTGATATTTAGCAAAATGATATCACATCTATGGGACAATAAGAAAAGTAAATCTTCTTGTAATTTTATTTAGTACCACATGCGAATCAATAAAAAAAAAATGTTTTTTTTATGTTGGATATATTCTTCATATTGACATATTGAAATAACCATGCTGGACCTATTCAATCCTAAACATACCATGTAAGGAGTTTAAAGCGGATATGCTCCCGACACTGATGATTGCAAAAGCGAAGATTCTCAAGAGGCACATTATGAGTAAACACTGTAACACTGAAGCTATCCCAACGTATGTAAGATAAAAAAAAATTCAATATTGAACAAGTTAACAAAAGGGGACAAAAAAAATTAGAATGATTAAGAGAATTTTTTGTGAGAAATATTTAAAAAAGACTATTATTAAAAATGTTGGACTCGATATCTTACCTTAATTATTTGAATGTTTTTATATATCACAACGGAAGAACAAAACGATAGTGTTCAAAAACATATGCGAAATAAATTCAAAATTTTAATGGAGTTAGTTTGACTTGTTATGTTAAGTTTAGTTTTGGATGATTAGATCCGAACTTGATAAATAAAACCATAACAGTCTGGAATAGTCTTTCTTTCGACTAATCGGCTCTGTTTATATTATAATCTAGACTTGAATCCGAGCTTAAGAACGAAAACTAAAACGGTTGTAAACTCTTCACCGACTATTGTTCGAAACTTTTGAATTCAAAGGATCTGAAGTTCTCAACCGTCCGATTCATGATCTCCGTCAACTCTGACTTCATTGGGCTTAACATTCATTTTCGGACCGAGACATTTTGGGTCTAAACCACCTGGGCCAGTAATGCTAATCTGACAACCTATATAATTTGATTAATTTCCATTTTCCATGAATTGTCGTATAATTGTCCTTTTCAAGCACAGATCACAGGTGTTATCTGATGACTCGACACACCACATCAAACTGATTGAGACCACCATTTTATAGATGCCCATTATCCTCTTATTCTTTATGATTCGAAAACGAAAGCACTAATCTCTTGAATCATCATCATCACGTTCAATCTCATTTAGGCTGAATCAAACAGAACCAAGAAGCAAATTAGATTCAATCTCAACGCGTCTAGTTTTGCAGATAAATGAGCAAAGAGACTCCAGTTTAAAGAGACTTAATAACACTAAAGATTCACGGAATTCAAGAGCAGCAATTTTTCATTTTGATTCAAGGAAACCCAACATCGAACATGATCACATAACATCAACATTCCCGGAAGAAACTGATCAAATGCAGAGAAGACAGAAACCCCAAAATACTTTTTAAATAAAGTAACAAAGTTCTTTTTTTTTTTTTTTTCAAATCCTCTGGACTTTATCAGCCTTAACCACCGGATTGGCCTTTGCAATTGCATCGCGTCCAAGTTCTTTGAAATCGAAGCCACACTCATGCTTCTCCGGGTACCTATGGCTCCCACAAAACGTGCTTCCGCATTTGCACTTAAACCCCATAACTCCAACCTTCTTGTTACAGCTGAAACACCTGTTCGGTCTTGCAGGTTTCGATGGCTCTGCCTCCTCGTCCTGTTCCGTGGCTACGGGAACAGAAGACGGCTCAGCTGTCACAACGACGGTTTCCACAGAGGCTGGTTTAGTTTCCAGAGGCTGTTTTTGTTCTGGTGTGATGAGACTGCAAGATGGAAGCTTTAGTGAGTTCTTGACCGCAGCTTTGGCTACTGCTGTTTGATCTTCCTCGGCTCGGAGACTTCTGTAACATTTCGAACAGAGATTCATGTTGGATGGTGACCCGAAGAATCCACATCCGTTGTCGCAGAGCTTTGGCTCTGATGGTGGGAAGCTTGTGCTGTTGTTTTGCTCAGAGCCCATTTTTTGTTGTTCTTGTCCTCTAAAAATCCTTCCTTTCTTCTTCTCAATCTATTTCACCTTCATTAAACAACAAAGACGAAAACACTTTATCATTCTAGCGTCTGACAACAACAGAAGAATGTTTTTTTTAATAGGTTGTTGTCGATTCAGAACATCAAAGATAAGATCGATTTGTCTCGATTCGTATCAACCCAGCTTCGATATAATCAAATTGATTCAATTCGAATTTAACCCAGCTTCAATATAATCAAATTGATTCATTTCGATTATAACCCAGTTTCGATATAACCAAATTGATTCATTTCGATTTAAATCCAGCTTCGATATGATCAAATTGATTCATTTCGATTTTAATCCAGCTTCGATATAAATCAAATTGTATCATTTCGAGTTTAATTCAGCTTCGATATAATCAAATTAATTCATTTCCATATAACCTAGCTACAAATAAAGATCTATCTCCGTGTCAATTTCCCCAAATCCAATTTGGAATCACGGAAACTTTAATCGATACACCCGAATTTCGGATTATTACGTAGAAAATCGTTCAGACAAAAAGAAGGAAATGACCCAAAGAGTAAGACAATTTTCCCCAGAAATGTTCAGATCCGTCGAAGAACAAACAAATCAACCATAGAAAAAGAAAAATAAAATCCCGAAGGAGAATTTACCAGAAATGGGCAGATCAAATGAGAATTTTTCCTCCAATTTCAAAAGCTTCTCTTATGGACGAAATTCCACAAAAAAAAAGACGTGTTTTCTGATCTTCCAAGGAAGAAGATGAAGGATTTGGTTTCTTCTTCGTTGAGATTCTAGGGATTTGTTATTTTTTTCTGTTCAGAATTGATCAGAACAAATCCCTTGATTTAGGTGAGAGATAGAGAGAGAGATTAGAGAGATAACCAAACACGCAACAATGGTTGATCAGAAAAATTGTCTCTTTATATAATTTGGGTACCAAACACGGTTATGTCGGTCTTGGGTTTCATTTTCTTACGTCAGTGTTTGGCGTGCAAATGATTCGTTTTTAGCCGTCGGATCTGTACGGCCGACGTTAATGTGACGTTACAGTTTTAGATCGGACGGCTGATTGAAGAAAGGGTATGAACGTAATATATTGAAATAGTTGAGGTTAAGTAGGTAAGTGTAGTCATTTTCCTATTTTTCCCCAGTCCACTGTGTCCTCCTTTTTTTTTTTTTTTTTTCAGTCCATTAATTTGGTTTTAATGAAATTAAATATTTTTAGCTGATAGTAGTAAAGAAAAAGTTAGATTTTTGGTTTTTTCACTTTTTATATGGTCTGACTTAGATATCTCATTAATAATTATATTGAGTGATTTGTTTGTTTTAGCAATAATTAAGATGAAATTACTGTTGCAAATATGTCTTCGGTTGTTTTTCACAGTCCATTAATTTGGTTTTAATGAAATTAAATATTTTTAGCTGATAGTAGTAAAGAAAAAGTTAGATTTTTTGTTTTTTCACTTTTTATATGGTCTGACTTAGATCTCTCATTAATAATTATATTGAGTGATTTGTTTGTTTTAGCAATAATTAAGATGAAATTATTGTTGCAAATATGTCTTCGGTTGTTTAACTTTGTTCTTACACATCGTGTTCTGATCTTTGCCTAATGACACGCAACGATGACACTATAATACAAAATCATTAACTACATTGTTTGTCTCATCTTTCAACATAAACTTTTGTCCTTACGAAAATTAGTAACTCTCTTCTTCTTCTTCTTTTTTTTTTCTCAATTTTAAATCCATGCAATGATGCAATCAAACGATACTCTGCCAAAACAAATGAGGCAATCATAAAATATTTATAATATATAAAATAATTGGTCTAGTCAGACATGACATTCTTCTTTGGAGCAAAACCACGAATAATTTTGTAGATAATGCTTAAATCATCTTCCACTATGATTATTCATAACCATTGTGATTAGAGACCTTTTTAAAAAAATATTTAATATAAAATTATGCTAATTTATATGGAACAATCATGAGACCTGCAAAATACGAGTGGCTTACACATCCTTAAGGACCCTACCTATCGTTAATGGTCCAGAAATCATGTTGTTTTGACTATGCAGAATCAAACGTCTTGCTGTTTCTTTGCCCTGAAGAGAATCCCACCTTTCTGAACAAAAGCTAAAGCCTAAAGCCAATTAGATAGTGCCAAAAAGATTATGCCTTATAGCTTCTGGTTTTAGCTATTACTGTGTATTAAATAGAAACAGTGATAAAGTCAGAAGTTAACTTCAGTGTAAAACTTGGAGGAGTTCGCTCAAGGAGAACTGAAGAAAACTAGGCCTTTCATTTTCATTGGTAAACTAAACACAGAGAATCTTTTCATGATATATAATTAAGAGAAAATTAAAGCATTTATTTTTTCATGGTGAAGCAACGGACCAAAAGATAGCCTAAAGACCTAAAAGAATGATCTCAACACTACAAAATATTGCAGAAGGAAGATGCTCACAATATAGAAGAATAGAATCGAATTCATTGGGAGATTAGGGAAAGTAAAATATGTTTATGTACATGAACGAAAATTGATTTTTTTTTTTTTTATAATTGTGGGGATCCCAAAGGTTTTCTAAGCCCAAACACTAATCTCACGAAGCTTTTCATCTGGTTACGTGTTTGGAAATATTTCAAATTTAAATTTAAAGTGTGGTTAGGTAGCCAAGGCGACTCGAACCCAAGAATCTCTCACTTGGAAGTTACCACTAGACCAAGTTACCACTAGAGCAAGACGACTTGGTTAACGAAAATTGATTTGGTGAAGTTATTTTGAAATATAGTAATGCAAGGTAGCTTTATTAGTATCTCACGGTGAACAAATGTAATCAATGTAACAAATAGATAAACAGAGTGGGAAACGAGAAGTAATTATATTTTCTTTACGTAATCGCAAGTTCAATATCCATTTACGCATGAACACAATATGCTTGATACATTGGTTCCATGAAAGTCTCAACCATATCACAAGTCTTACACATGAAGACCGAAGAGTATAAACAATCGTATTGTTCTCTGGTTTATCGACTCTGTTTTGGTTACTTAACCGGGTGTTCTATCAGAACCAATTAAAAAGGAAAAAACACAACTAGGTCATTACAAAAACAATTAGAAAATCCAACCATTAACAACATACAAATGTCACTACTCCTTTCTGTTTTTCCATATTGTAACAAGCGAGACACCCATCAGAGACATAACCACTGTCTGCAAAAAACAACAAATTGTCTCTGGTCAAAACATATACAAAGACAGTACTATATATTAAGAACTAAAAGCAAAGAGATGTAACAAACGAGGTCATTTTTGAACTCACAGAGATTGCTGGAGGCACTCCAACGAGAGGATCTTGAAAGAATTTTGTCGCGAGGGCAAGAGCGAGAAGACTACTTTGCATTCCTGTTTCATATGATAATGTTCTTTGTAGGGCTTTTACATCATGTGCCTTGCTGAAGAAGAAACCACTGAAATAGTAACCAGCAATGAAAGCCAAGAGATGAAACGTGATGACGAGGAACAAAATGGTTGCACCGAACGGAGACAAGATTGAATCTATGTTCAAAGCCAGAGGTGCTCCGATGCAACAAGCCATATCAATAAGCGTTAACGCCGGGAGAAATGGTTTGATTGCATTAGACAACCTTGGAAATAACCTGCAGCCACATTACTAATGTAACGTTAGCTTTTTTGTAGCTTAGTAACAGTTAAGTACATTGAGAGTGTTTAATCTTGATAAACTGATCCTGTCCGATCCAAAACCAAACAGAATCAAACAATCTGAACCTGATTAAGATGATGTCTCACCGATTCAGAAGTAGTCCAGCGGCAATAGGTGTAACCACGACCTGGAGAATGCTAGAGATCATACCAATCACATCAACGGGAAGCTTTTTACCAATGAGTAAGAGAGAAAGCATAGGTGTAACAATGGCTGCGGTAGCGGTTGAGATCGATGTCATGACGATGCTAAGCGGTGCGAGTGAAGGATCGGTCAAGAAAGTTGTGTAATTCGATAGCTGAGCTCCACTAACACATGAGACCAACATGATTCCAGCACCTATAGGAGTAGGTAGATTGAAAACAGAGACAGCGATTACGCCGAAAATGTAACCTAAGAGTGGTTTTATCAAGTATTGTCCGATGTAACCGGCGAAAATAGCGTCTGGTCTTTTAAGTGCTTCAAGAAAGTCTCGTTCGTTAGAGTTGATTCCAACAGCAAACATCATGAACCCTAATCCAGGCACAAAGTACCTAAAGAAAGAGCAATTGTAGTTAGAGACTCTAATGTCTCTTATTATTAAGAATTTGATTAAATTAGTAGTTAGGTTGGTCTGAACCTTGGCTTGAACCATGTGAAAGAAGGTGGATGGAGAAGAGCTAAGATTGTACTTGAGAGAATCACATGAGGAATAAAAGAGTTGGCTTGCTTTAATGCTTCCATGATAGAAACCTTGTTAGTGTAGATCTGAAACCAAAACATGATTGTTACTTGCCAAGAAAGCAAAAAAGGACGGTGATTTTGTTGATCTTGTTTTACCTCGTTTGAATCAGATTCGGAGACATGTCTCCGCCAAGGATAACTCGACCTACCATCTTTGGATTGTAGAACACGGCAAAGACCGAAAAAATCAAAAACGTTAAAAATTAAATTGATTCACTTCAAAAAAAAAAAAAAAAACAGAGTTCTTCTATAATTACTTACTTTGTGAGATCGGGGCACTTCTTAGTGGAAAATCTACAGAATATGATCCTGAAAGAGAAACCCAACTCATCAAAAACAGAATTGAAGACTCATATTACATCTGAAACTGTTGACTTTTTCAGTAAAATAGCTTAAGAAATGTTAAAAACAGAGGAGAAAGAAGTGAAACCTAGAGAAGAAAATGATAAGCTGTTGCGCGGGAAATTTGTAATTCTTCGAGTGTTGTGGAAAACCACTGGGTAGGAATAATCTCGAGGTTGAAGAAGACGATGTTGAGATTTGAAGAACAGAGTCTCAATAGGAGAGATCACGCCCATTTTTTGTTCCAGAAATAACCAAAACGACAGTCTTGCTTGAGAGAGAGAGAGAGAGAGAGACGTTCCAACAAAACGCTATTCTCAATCTTTGTTTAGCATTATAAGCACGAAGTACCAAATTACCAACCTAGCAGAAGAAACGTTTCATTAGGCGTGGTAAAATTATTGAGATACATTTCCACGATACGCACGTGCGAGTGCCACACCAACCTAACGCCTCAAAACTTTTTGAGTCAAAAGTAGTCTAGTCGTCTTTATATATAGATATGTTGATTAGATTGTAAAACTAATAACAGACTAAAGCCAAAATTAAGTCATCTTAGTCTAGACTTTTAAGATTAAGGTTTAGAATCCTGATCGATGTGTATTGTGATAACAAGAGATAAACAACCCTGTTGGCTTTTGCAAAAGAAGAAACAAAAGACTACAAAAAAAATGATATCTGAGAAATAAAGTTCTTGAATAGAGAAGCAAACGGGCACACAAAGCCATATTTTTCATTCATCTTCAGATGATGAAAGCATATTCAGCCACTAGATAACTACTCAAGGAATATCAGACTCTCTACATTCAATCAGACTTTCGCAGATTCAGCCATTAGTTCTGCTCAGTTTTTACATTGGAGATGGTAAATACTGTACACTCTATGTTGCGTCCATTCAACAGAGTTGAAGTAGAAACTAAGAGATTTGTACTTTTTTGAGCCATCCAAATCTATTCCACAGTTTTGAAAACTGCTGTGCATCAATCTGGCGAAATTCAACCTTGAATCTTAGGCTCCATGCGTTATCAGGCAATCTTACTAGGTTCTTGCAGTCTACGAATCTCAGTTCTTCAAGGGCAGTCAGATATGAGATGGAGGAGGATAACTCTTTAATGCGCCGTCCTGCTTAAATCCAGAGACTTTAAGCATTTCATCTTTCTATACAAGTCTGGAAACCGCTCAAGACTTGAGCAGCCTGAAAGATTTAGTGTTTCAAGATGCTTCAACTTGCAGATGGTGGTTGGAAGAGTCACGAGGTGTCTGCTGTTTTCCAGGTCCAGTTTTTCGAGCAATACCAGGTTCTTAATCGATGACGGAATTTCTTGAATCATAGTCCCACCCATGTAAAGTTGTTTCACATTTGGTGAGATCTCCGGGAAAATCTCTAGCTTCGAACAGCCAGAAAGATTCAAAACCTCAAGAGATTCTAATTCAACCGTAGATGGAATACTCTCCAGATTCGAGCAGTCCTTCAGATTTAGAAACACAAGCTTTCTAAGAGAAGAAACTGACTTGCTGATACTCACTAAACTGTTACAGCCTTCAAGATCAATATGTTCAAGATTCAGCGCACTTGAAAGTCTTGGGATTTTTGCTAACTGGTAGGAGTAGCTGAGTCTCATCTTTTTAAGCTGTTCTAGACTCTGCAAAGGAAAATAAACAAACATCAGAAACACACTTCATGGTTTATCATATTCATTGACTTGATGATACAGAAATCATGAGCATTGCCTTTTTTCCTTTCCAAAGTTTCTTTGCAGAGCTATTTGGCAAATTAAGCTCTACAAGATTCATTGGATCAAAACTTTGCGGCAAGGAGCTTAAAGGATAATATTCCCAGTGCAGAAGCCTTTGCTTGCTTGGCAAATATTCAAGACCTTGAGGTAAAGATACTCCACGATTCTCTATCTCTTCAGAGCAATAAAATTTTAACAGTCTGAGGTTGCACATTTTTTTGAATACATAGGGATTTCCATCCATTTTCAGCTTCGACATGTCCAGGAAAATGCTCTCAATAGCTGATGTGCCCTGAAAAACCAAGAGAAAAGAAGTTAGCCTCCAAAAATAATTAAGCCAGAACAAACCTAGGGGACAACATAATAGATAGACCAAATATCTTCATGATGACTTACAGAGTCATGCATGAATACATTCCTTATATCTTCGGAATTCCACAACCTGCTGCGGTCTCCTGGCCTGTCAGGTGATTCTTGGCGAACAATTTCTCGACCGGTTGCCTCAATAAACCTGAGCATGTCCACCATGTTGTGTGATATGGTTAACAGTGATTTGTCAACAAGGCCTCTAAATCCAACATGTGCAGAGAAACCACAACCATCAAGCAACATTGCAACGCCGTCTTTATCCATCCTTCTAAAGAAACATGCAATGTCCAAAAATATACTCCTCTCGTAGTCATCAAGATCACAACAGATTCTTTGGAATATACCTGGAATGAAGATAGGAGAGGTTTTCTGAAATTTTTCTGATAACAGTTTCCATTCTCTAACCAATATACGCAAGAATAGAAGAACCTTAGGATTTCCATTTGAAAATTTGATCAGCTCAAGTGACAATGTCTTGTCAACCTCAGGTAAAAAAACACTTCGAGATCTCCCACATTCAAGAAGTAGTAGAGACTTAGAAATATCTAATGGCTTGACCTCATAGACATGATCGATTTTACATTGTACGAAAACACGTCTGTTTCTAGAGGTTATGATTATTCTGCTTCCTGGACCAAAATAGTTAACCATCCCCGAAAAGGTTTCAACATCTCTGAAATCATTCACATCGTCGAGAATTACGAGGACCTTTTTACACTGAATCCTACTCCTCAAGAAACTTGTTTTAAAGTCGGAAACTTGAATGACACGTGGTTCTATCTCTAAAACTTTAGACAAAAATTCCTCTTTCACAGCATCGTGCCCTTTGACCTCTACTTCTTTATGAAGGTTCTTGAGGAAGACACAAGTCTCATATTGGACAGAGATTCTACGAAAGATTTCTTCTGCAATGGCTGTTTTTCCTATACCAACCGTACCCCATATACCTATGCTGCGAACATCTGGGGAGTCAATGCATAGCAGTGACAAAATCTCATCTACTTGCGTATCCATCCCAATCATCAACTCATTATCATTGGAGTACAGCACCTTCAAAGCATCTCTGACAAGCTCATCTATAAGTTCAGATTCGGACCTGCGAGATTATAAGATTAAAGCAGACGAGACAATCATAAAAAAAAAAAAACACAAGGAAGAAGTATCAAAGTTATATAAACTAAATGATTGCAGACCAGTGAAATGACATTAGATATTTCTAAACACTTTCATACAATTCTCATAAATCAATGGCTTTCGAAAATTAGAACCTCTTTTCGTTGGTGTTTAAGAATGTTTAAGAGGTTGGAAGGGACATATGTGCTCGTTAAGAATATGATCAGAACCCTACATTCTGGAACTGCATCCACTTCATGAAATTCTTCATTGACAGAGATCCCTCTCCGGCAAAAGGCAGCACGAAGATGGCTGATGAAATCTTCGTTGCTTATGTCCCCTCTCCTGTATCTGATTACGACATCATAATCTTTGATTATAGCCGCAGAGACATCACTTGCATCAGCAAACGGTCCATCATCTACATATAAGCTCTGAGACTCTTCAAAGCCAATGTTTAATTCATCTTCTTGCATCAGCATTGAGGGCCTTGCTGGAAATCTTACATCCCCGGTGAGTCGCTGAACCACGTTCATGAAATCCGACACGGTGGTGTGTATGACCTTATGCCTCCTCTTAATCTTGTGTGAGTCTTTGTGGACACTGAGAGGTGAAAGACTAAACCCAAACATCTGAAACTGCTGTTCCTGGTGATCGGAAAGATTACCGCCAACGAAACTCGATTCTGTAACACTGCTTTTGGCGATGTCGTCTAGCTTCAAGACCTCAGAATCGGAATACGGAGGGAAGTGTTTCCCATAAGCTGCATAACCAAAACGTACAAAATGATATTGGTCGAATGAAATTAGTCTCTGCTAATCTACAAATTGACTCACATTCTCCTGCCCCTGGATGTTCCTTGCACACGAACGCTTCACTTATGGCCTCCACAACTCCTCCTCCGGTGACTTTAGCACCTAATCGGAACTTCCGGCTCCTCGACCAGCTCGAATTATCTGTGAAAGCGACATCGCCGCCGATCACTCCGACCCCGTCTTTGAGCGTCACGGTCAGATCTCCGACGAGCAATGGTCGTTTCCCTTCCCGGAGTATACTCCGATTGAACTCTTCCGTGGTCCAGCTTTTTTCGTTGATGTCGGCGTCCAGCGCTACGATCTCGAGCCGCGAGAACGATGCCGAGCTTAAGGTGTGGACTCGAGTGTTCGTGGCGGCGTCAACGAGCTCGATTGCTATTAGAGAACCATCATCCGCCTCGATCATTGAATCCGTGAATATCGTCAGTCGCGGCGAGTTTATGAAACGCAGCTTCCATAACGGAGGCGGAGGCTTCAGCATCTTTGGATCTGACGGATTCATTAATAGGATCTCTTCCATGGAGTCTCTTCCTTCTGCTTCCTCTGCAGAGCTCGATGTGTTTCTCAGTTTCAGAGGCTTTGACACACGCAACAACTTCACCGGTCATCTCCAAAAAGCGCTCCGCCTGAGAGGGATCGACTCTTTCATTGACGACAAACTCCGTCGAGGGGATAATCTAACTGCGCTTTTGGATAGAATCGAGAAATCGAAGATTGCAATCATCGTCTTCTCCAAGAACTGCGCCAATTCCCGATGGTGCCTCCGAGAGCTTGTGAAGTGTTGTATTGTATCCGCACGCGAGGTCACTTTAGTAAATATGTTTAGGTGGAGCTCGGAGATTCTTGATTAATTAGGGGTAATATCGATATGAGTATTTCGGAGTTGTTTGAACGAGGTAACTAAGCGAGGTAAGAGTTATGATTATAAGTCTCGAATATTTTTGTCTCTATTTCAGATTACGGATCCCGTAATAAATGAAGTTACATGGCTATTTATAATGCTCAAATTAGGTTACATCTCGGTCAGAATAGCTTGGGCGGCCGGGCAGTTAGACCTGACCGACCGTCTATTAGAACGTCGTGCTGGCGAGCTGTTTCATCTACGTCGACGTGGCGAGCTGTTTTATCTACGTCGACGTGGCGAGCTGTCCCATCCGTGTCGAGGTGGCGAGCTGCTCCTTTGATATAAAAAGGTCATCTCCCCGAACGACCTCGTTTCACTCTTCGCACATGGGCTTGGTGGTCTTCGATCTTACTGGGCTTTCATCTCGCTAATGGGCCTAAATGAAATTACGAAAAGGGGGCTGTGCTCAGCCCACCTACAACAATTGTCCCCCCCCCAGTCCGTTGATGGAGATGGTACTTCGATATTCAACGCATCGAGCTGGAGAACTTTCATCTCCTTGGACCTCGATATCGATGTCGGGTCTTCGGAATCGAGGTGATACTTAACGGTCGTCTTGGGTTGCGAAGAGTCGCGATAAGTAACGGTCGTCTTGGGTAGCGAAGAGTCGCGATAAGTAACGGTCATCTTAGGTAGCGAAGAGTCGCGAGAAGTAACGGTCGTCTCGAGCAGCGAAGAGTCGCGAGTGGAAGCGTGATTTTCGGGAAGCGCGTGGAATCCGCCATTAAATAAAGTGCTGGGAAGCGTCCGAATCATGATTACTTTCCTCGGTAACCGCTGTTTTTTTTTCTTCCTTATATATTCTGCTTTTCTCTTCTTCTTTTCATTTTCTTCTCCGTTTACAAAAGGTAATTCTGCTCTCCCTTCTCTCTAGAATTCCTTTCTCTCTCTAGAACTCGCCCTCTTGTTATTTTGTTTTTATTGTTATCCGACATCGAGTAATGTCTTTGGGAGGTCAGCGTATCGAGTCGAGCTTAGAGTCTGGGTCCGTGTCGGACCAAGAGGTTTCTGTGAACAATAGCTCTTCTCCTGAGGCGCAGTCGAGGTCCGAAAGTCAATCGGACCGAGAAGAATCGCCACTTGTGGAATTGGCTGATCGACTTCGTCCTGATGGTGCTTCCTCGCAGCGCGAGGCCTCGAATCTTCAAGTGGTCGAAGTTGACGAAGATTCTCGTGAAGGAGATGCTGTTGAGCAAGCTGAAGACGGGGTCGATGAGGAAGATAACGAGGAGGAAGGCGAGCAAACCAAACCTCGAAAGAAGAGTTCCAAACGAAAGGGGAACATCAAGAACCGATTAGTGGACATTCGATCTCGAATGACACCGGAGCGCCTCGAAGAAATGCGGGCGCTTTACGGCTTTTGCTGCGAGCTTAGATCGCCAGGTCCCGATGATCGTGCATGGCTAGCCCCGGTCGGCTGGGTCACGTTGTACGAGGCCTGGTTCAGCATGTGTCACCTCTGGGTTCCGTTGCCGAGGCTGTTGACGGATTACGCAGACCGGCGATGCATCGCTCTCTCGCAGATTCTTCCGGCAGGAATACGATATATGGTCCCAGCTCTCCTATTTGGGAGTGAAGTCGGGGTTAACGTCGACTGGCGCTTCTTCGAAGAGATGACCACTGTTCAGAGGAACAACTCGATCCCAGGCACTTATACCATTAAAGCCGGGAAAAACTGTTCTCTTATTTACCCCGTGAATAAGACATCGAACTGGGAGGCGTCTTTCTTCTATGCCAAGGTCGATGAGTCGTTAGTCGTTGACACGGCTAGAAATTTTAGGAACGAATGGAGCCAGAGAATTGGTAGATCGCTTGTTTGATCGACTGTCAATTTTTCCTTTTATATCGTACTTACACCTTGATTTTTCTTTGCAGATCGAAACGTTAACCTCGACGCTTATCCGGAAGATTACTTTGAGAACCTCCAAAAGCTCAGATCCGTTGGCATTCAGAGGTGGCCTGACATTCATCGTCGGAGAGTCGAGGCTGCCATCAACCGCATCACTAACGGTAAGTTCGACATTCTTGATGTTTCTTCTGCAATTGACATCGCCTAACGCATTTCTTGTTCCAGCTAGTTGGAGGAGGGAGAATAATTTGCGAGAAAGAGCGATTGCAATGGCTCCGATTCAAGTTAACGCGCCCAGCCTCGCTGCACGTCTAAAGGCCCAAAAGAGCGGGAGTAAGGATCGGGGTCCTTCTGCTTCTCGGCCTGCACGCTCGGAGCCAGTGCCGGCCCAAGAAGAGGTTGAGGTCGATCCTCAACCCGTTGCCGAAGACGCGGTCGAAGCTCAGAGTGCTGAAGACCAAGTGGAAGCTCGGCAACCGGATGATGAAGCCGACGAAGCCACACAGTCAGCAAGGCGCGAGGAGAAGAAGCAAAAGAAGAGGAAGCGCGAGGAGAAGAAAAAGAAGGAGGTCGAGGCTGCTCGCCGTGCCCAAAAGAAGGAAGAAGCCGAGACTGCTCGCCTCGCCGAGAAGAAGGAGGTTGCCGAGGCTAAGGCGAAAGGGAAAAAGAAGAAAACTTCCGGGGACGGCGATGATGGCGGACAAATTGGAGCGGAGGCTACGAGCAAACGGCCTAGGGTCGATCCACCTGGTACTGACAAGGCCAAAGAGATCGATTGGAGCTTTTCGTTCGAGTACCCCGAGTCGAACGAACCGTTTGTCAACAATGTTGACAAATGTGGAGAGCTGTTCGGGATGATAAGGGGCTCCATTTCCGAGGTCCCCTCTGGAACCGATGGGGCTTTCAAAGATATGGCGAGCTTCGCCTTCAAGGTATGTCTGGAATCTTCACTTTATGCTTTAATCTATGAGCTCGACTGATATATTTTTTGCTTTTATTCTCAGTTCATCGCGAGCTGCAACCGTGCGCGGGGTCAGTACATGCGCTGGCTCCAGAATGGTGCCGCTCGGCTAAAGGATGCCCAGGCTGCTGGCGAAAAGGCAGTGAAAGAGCGTGACGCCGCCATTGAGGAGCGAAGGGTCGCCGAGGACAATTGGCAGACCATGAAAAGGAAGGCGGAGCAGCTCGATGTAGGGGTTAAAGAGGTAACCGACAAGATCGAGGCGATGAAGCAAGAGAACCTCGATTTAGTGAATAACCTGCAGATCGTCAATGAGGCCAAGATCCAGGTCGAGAACTCGGTCGCCACTGAGGTCGTCCGGGCACAGCGACAAGCTGATGAGAGAATCGAGGCGGAGACGACCCGAATTTGGGCGGATACCGAGGCAAAGTATTCCGGTCGCATCGATCGGCTGAGGATTTGGGTTGCTCAATAGGAGGCGATCGAGAAGGTTAAGCTCGATCTAGTTCAGGCTCGAGGTACATTGGAATGCCTCGATCTCTTAAAAGAGCAAGAGATGTCTGAGGCTGAGTTGAGAGCCGAGCTGGAATCGTCGAAGCGCGATTGCAAACAGAAGCTCGAGAACCTCAGCTTCACAGATCTGGAAGAAGGCGACTTGCCTCCGCCTTACCCTGAAACTCCAGATGGTGGTTCGGATCGAGATGATGCCGAAGAAGAAGAGAACCACGAGGGCGGTAATGAGCCTGAAGAATAGACCTTACTTGCCTTTTTCTTACTTGTTGTTGCCTCTTCCCTTTTGACTTTTTTTTATTTTGCCTCGTTTGTAATGACCCGACCTATCTTTATTAATGAATGCTCTTTTTCCGAAGTATCAGCTCGCGATTTGAATTATAAAGAGAGAATAAATATGAGGTGTACTTAAGAAAAACAAAACGACTAATGCGGATATCCTCATCTTATATGATAATAGATTCGAGATGAAATGCTTGATACGAGGTGAAAATTGGTTCAAAAAGATTGGAACGAAGTGAGAACTTACTTCTTGGAACAATACCTACGAATGATAGGCGCGGGACTTGACCTAAGAAAATAATGGATGCGAGGAGCGAGATGCGAGATAAAACTTAGTAAAATAATAGGTGCGAGATAAAACTCGGCTTAAGGGAACAATAAGTGCAAGGTGAAACTCGGCTTAAGGGAACAATAATTGCGAGGTATGACTCGGCTTACCCTGTTTTATTTCATTAATCGTGTCCGAATAGTGAGAATGATCTCGACGTAGTTATTCGGGTGATTTAAGAAAGGATGCGGGACTGGTCCCGGCTTATTCTCTTATAATCGTAAGGTTTTTGTTCCTTAGGATTTATTAAGAGTTTGCATTGTAGGGAAATGCGTATTAGAGGATCGAACATCTAGCTAGGATGTCGATGTGAAAGATGTCAATGTGAAAGATCGTATAAATATAATTTTATTAATAGCTGTACCTCGTAAGAGGTTGCCTACGTACCCAACAAACTGGGATCAAGCCGATCGTAGTTCACATTCGAGAGATATAGCTCGACCGAGTATAGCTCGGTGAGCGTCTTTTTTTTTTTTTTTTTTTTTTGTTTAGTAGTAGTACCGCTTGATGTTCATCGAATTCCACGATCGCTTTATCATTTCGCCGTCCATCGTCATCAGCTCGTAAATGCCAGGCTTTATAACGTTGGTGATTTGGTAAGGGCCTTCCCACTTTGCGCCCAGTTTTCCGGCGCGGTATTCTTCGGTATTTTTGAACACCTTTCGAAGGACGAGGTCACCAGCTTCGAATTGCCTACCTTTCACGCGTTTGTTGTAATATCGTGAGATTTGCTGCTGATAATTTTGCATACGTAACAGAGCATGGTCCCGCTCCTCCTCGAGCATATCGAGACTATCCTTCATCATTCTTCCGTTCTTTTTCTCGTCTTATGTCAACATCGTTCTGCGTATGGTTGGTAGACCGATTTCGGCGGGAGCTAAGGCTTCCATGCCATGAGACAACGAGAAAGGGGTTTTATTCGTCGATCTGCGCGGTGTAGTTTGGTGTGACCATACGACATCGTCTAACTCGTCTGACCATAAGCCCTTCTTATCCTCGAGTCTCTTTTTGATGCCGTCGAGGATAGTCTTGTTGGTTGCCTCGGCTTTTCCGTTTCCTTGTGGATATCGCGGTGTTGACTTGCTAAGTCGTATTTTCCATTTTGCACAGAAGTCCTCGAATACGTCGGAGATAAACTGGGGGCCATTATCGGTGACGATCTAGTAGGGTAATCCGTGGCGGCAGATGATGTTTTTCCAGACGAAGTTCTTCACGTCGGTTGCTTTGATTTTGGCGTACGATTCGGCCTCGACCCATTTCGTAGAGTAATCGGTGATGATAAGCATGAATCGTGTTTGTCGGGATCGAGGAAGTGGACCGACGATGTCCATCGCCCATCGCATAAAGGGATAAGGTGGCGAGGAAGCAGCCAGAAGCTCGGCTGGTGCGTGGATCATTGGCGCATGTCGTTGGCATTGCTCGCAGCGAGCTACGAATCGATCGCAATCGGTAAGCATTGTCGGCCAAAAATGACCGTGGTTCTTGATTTTTAGAGCGAGAGCTCGACCGTTGGAGTGATTTCCACACGCTCCTTCATGTGTTTCCCGCATGACATCGAGTGTCTCTTCGCCATGAAGACAATTGAGCAGGGCGCCCGTCGAGCTCCAACGATAGAGGTTGCCGTGTGACTGAATGTATTTAGCGCTTCGAACTTTTAAGCGTCTCGCTGCCCATCGGTCGGGTGGGACTTGGCCGTTTGTAATGTAGAGCAAGATTTCGATCCTCCAGTCTTCGGTTGCTGGCTCTTGTTCGGCAGGTTCATCGATGACCTCCGGGGGAGGTAACTCGATGGCGTCCAATCTGTTCGCTTCGAGTTCTCGAACCGTGCATACTCCTCGAGGTAGGACGATGCTGGGGGAATCGATGCTTTCGACCGGGATTACGCGCCTTTGATGTGGTTCGGACGTCGATGCAAGGGCGGCTAGTGCATCTGCTGAGGTGTTGTCACTCCTCGGAATTCTGGTGAGTGAGAAAAATTCAAAGCGATCAGTGAGGTTTTTGACGGCTTTAAGATACAAATCTATCCGGTCGTTTCTGGTGTCGTAATCGCCGCTATACTGACTAGCAACGAGCTGGGAGTCGCAGAAAGCTTCGATTTTTTTGACCCCGATTCTTTGCGCTAGACGTAGTCCTGCGAGTAAAGCTTCGTACTCTGCTTCATTATTGGAGGCTGGAAATTCGAGCCGGAACGATTGCTCCAATATCTCTTTCGTCGGAGATTCTAGGCGGATGCCGATAACTGCGCCTCGGGACGAGGAGGATCCATCGACGTACAAGGACCACTTCTCGTCAGGTAGGTCGGTCTGGATTAGCTCTGGCGAAAGCTCTACCAGAAAATCTGCGAGGACCTGCGATTTAGCACTTGTCTTATTGCGATATTCAATATCATACTCCGTTAGCTCGACAGCCCACTTTGCCATGCGACCTGACTGGCTCGGGCTGTGCAGTATGGTTCGAAGTGGTTGATTGGTCAAGACGACGACCGAATGGGATTGAAAGTAGGGTCGTAGCTTTCTGGCAGACATGATGACCGCGAGTGCGAGTTTCTCCAAAGCCGGATACCGAGAAGTTGATAGAACGGAAGACACTTATCTGTGGATCGCGAGATGAATCGGTTGAGCGCCGCAATTCGGCCGGTAAGACGTTGGACCTCGCGAGTGTTGCGAGGTGATAGGAGATTGATTAGGGCATCGATCTGCTTCGGATTTGCCTCGATTCCTCGTTTAGTGACGATGTAGCCTAGGAATTCTCCGGAAGTTACCCCGAAGGTACACTTAGTCGGATTGAGCTTCATCTGGTATTGATTTAGAACGGTGAAGTAAGCTTGCAGATGGCCGATGTGATCACCGGCGGTGAGTGACCTTACTAGCATATCGTCGATGTAAACCTCCATTGTTCGTCCCAACTGATCGGCGAACATGTGGTTGACTAGTCGTTGGTACGTTGCGCCCGCGTTCTTTAAGCCGAACGGCATTACCTTATAACAATAAGTCCCTCGATCGGTGATGAAGGACGTCTTCTCACGATCCTCGGGATGCATAGTGATTTGATTATATCCGGAGAAGGCGTCCATGAACGACAGGAGCTCGTTCCCTGCAGTTGCCTCGACGATTCAATCGATATGCGGTAGAGGGAAACTATCCTTGGGGCAGGCTTTATTGAGATCGGTGAAGTCTACGCAGATTCGCCATTTGCCATTCTTCTTTTTGACGACAACAGGGTTTGCCAGCCATTCTGGATATTTGACCTCGATGATCGAACCGGCCTTCGACAAACGTTCGACTTCATCATTGACGGCCTGTGCCTTTTATAAACCTAACTTTCTTCGCTTTTGCTTGATCGGTTTAAAAGTAGGATCGATGTTGAGCCCGGGACTTGTTATTGAGGGATCGATCCCAGGCATGTCGCTTACTGACCAGGCGAATGTCGATGCGTTTCGGCGAAGAAGTCGTACGAGCTCGACCTTGATCTCCTCCTTTAGATCAGCTCCGATTCCTACGCATCGTTCGGGGGCACTTTCGTCGATGTTTACTTGGACGACGAGCTCCTGCTTGGGTCTTTCTTGGGTTGGCAAATCTGTTTGAGTTACGGGTAAGATCGTAAGACATGCCTTGGCTGGGACCGTGGATTTGAACCAAAGCTTATGCTCGGCGGCGAAGCAGAGTCTCGATATCTCCTGAGAACCTCGGATGGTTTTTACCCCGAACGTGGTTGGGAACTTGAGGCATTGATGATAGGTCGATGGCACCGCCTTCATGGATTGCAGCTAGGGCGTTCCTAAAATTACGTTATAGATGGCGGGTTTGTCGACGACGACAAATTTGACGAGGTGAGTCGTCTTTGCCGCGTAAACTGGAAGCCTGATCGTCCCGAGCGATTAAACCGTATCTCCGTCGAATCCTGTAAGTGGCTTAACCGAGGACTTGAGGTGATGGTTCGCCAATTCCATTTTGTCGAGTGTTTCTTTGAAAATCCGGTCTACTGAGCTCCCTGTATCGACCAGTATCCGAGATACTTTGCAATCTGCGATCCGCAGCTCGACCACAAGAGGATCGTTGTGTGGCATGTCGACTCCTTCCGTGTCGGCTTCGGTGAACGTGATCGCATCACTTTCTGCAGTTTTGGGGTTTTTGACCTGCCATTTCTGGGCAAGCATGACTTGGCGTCCGTATTTTTTAATCGATCTAACGGAGTCGTTGCATGTCGCCAGGCCTCCCATAATAAAGAACACCTTTTTTCGAGATGTCGGAGGAGTATCGTCCCGAGGTTGATTACCTCGGTCTCTCTTTGCAGGATCGTCGTTGGATCGCTCGTTCGTTGGGGGAGGGGGTGGAAGTTGATCGGTGGGAGCCGTTGGTCGAGCTTCGTTATTTCGCGGCGCGGTGTTTTGGGGCTGGTTTGCTAACGCGATCTCCCCCTTTCGATATTTGGCGAGCAAATAGGCCTGTAGCTCACGACACATCGCGGTTGGGTGACCATACTTGTTATGATAGTCGCAGAAAGGTCGTGTCTCCCCGCGATCTCCTCGTTGCCAGGTGTTCGATTGGTTTTGATATTGGCGATTTTGTTGTTGTGGAGTGCTGATGTTATACGTCGCTCCTCGGCGATTGTCACCTCGATAGTTATTGTCGAGGTGTTGTCGAGGTTCCTGATAATCTTGTTTGGGGATTTCTTTGTGGGATTGCTGCTTCGGCGCAGCTTTTGCTGGTGACACAATCTCTTTTTCTTCCTCGTCCTCGATGTATAAGGTGGCACGGTGAAGCGCGTCTTCGAGAGTTCGGGGTTTGCTGAACTTGAGGCTGTCCCGAAACTTCGAATCGATTCGCAGGGCATTCCGAAGAGCTGGCAGCGATGCTTCGTCTATTACGGTGATCCGAGAGACGATCGTGTTGAACCTACCGATGAAAGACCGAAGGGATTCTTTTTCGCCTTGTTTGATCTGATAGAGGTCGGCACTGGGAAACTGCACCTTGGATTATACATCATGTACCTTCTTGAGGAATGCAGTCGACAATGCTTGGTAGCTGTCAATCGAGTTCACCTTTTAACTTGGAGAACCCAGACGAGGGCCGCACCGCTGAGATTTTCGACGAACAGTTGGCAAAATCCTGCATTTTTCTCCTCGGGAGTGAATCGTGCTCGGCCCATTTGAATGCTGAACGCGGTCATGAATTAGCTTGGATCCGAGTTGCCAGTATACGTCGGGAGGTTGAACTTCACTTGAGTTCTTATCGGGAAATCGGTGATTCGGGTCGTGAACGGTGTGCTTTGGCTTTTTTTCAACACACGGTTGATCTCAGGTGCCGAGCTAGTTGCTTGATGTACAAGCGAGGTCATGGCTCGCAATTTAGCTCGCATCTCGAGCATTTCTTCGTCTTGCTGTGAGTTTCTTATCTGAAGTCGACGCGTTTCGTGTTCGGGAGCTCCGATGTTTACCTCATCGCAGTTCGAGGTTGGATGATTTTCTGTTGTTGGTGGTGCGGGTGAATCTCCGAATAAAGCGCGCTGTACGCGTTGAATTTTTTGGGCTCGTCTCTCTGGGGCTTGGGTCTCTGACGAGTGTAATATGTTGACTTGATCTTGACAAGAAAATTGTGCCGCGGCGAGCTCGTTCAGGCGAGCGCTTGTCTATTGATTCAGCTCTTCTATTCAAGCCATCATTGTCGCAAATAATGTCGCGACGTCAACAGGAGCTGGTGTGCTTTGGTTTACGTCTTGCGATTCTGGACGCGAGGTTGCGTTTTCCACAGGATTCATCGCTGGTGACTGCCTATTCGAGGTCTCTGGATTGTTAACCGGTGATGTGTGAAGTCCCTCCACGGCTGTAGTTGAGAAGGGTAGATTAGTTGTCTCGTTGATTTGAATTCCTTACATTATCGAGCCCCTCTTTGCGTAGAAAGAAATCTTTTAGCCCCACGGTGGGCGCCAATTGTTGTATTGTATCCGCACGCGAGGTCACTTTAGTAAATATGTCTAAGTGGAGCTCGGAGATTCTTGATTAATTAGGGGTGATATCGATGTGAGTATTTCTTGAACGAGGTAACTAAGCGAGATAAGAGTTATGATTATAAGTCTCGAGTATTTTTGTCTCTATTTCAGATTACGGATCCGGTAATAAATGAAGTTATAGGGCTATTTATAGTGCTCAAATTAGGTTACATCTCGGTCAGAGTAGCTTGGGCGGCCGGGCAGTTAGACCTGACCGACCGTCTATTAGAACGTCGTGCTGGCGAGCTGTTTCATCTACGTCGACGTGGCGAGCTGTTTTATCTACGTCGACGTGGCGAGCTGTCCCATCCGTGTCGAGGTGGCGAGCTGCTCTTTTGATATAAAAAGGTCATCTCCCCGAACGACCTCGTTTCACTCTTCGCGCATGGATTTGGTGGTCTTCGATCTTACTTGGCTTTCATTTCGCTAATGGCCTAAATGAAATTACGAAAAGGGGCTGTGCTCAGCCCACCTACAACATGAAGATCCTCTACAAAGTCGACAAATCGGATGTCGAGAAGCAAGAGAAGAGTTTCGCGGTGCCGTTCGAGGTACCGGAAGTGACTTTTCCCGGAGTTACGGCGGAGGAGATTTCGTCGTGGAGGGCTGCTCTTGCCACAGCATCCAACATTCTCGGCTATGTAGTCAAAGAAATTAGGTTAACTCTTCATACTATACTTTCTGAAATATCTAGATCTATACTAGTGTCATGAAAAGAAACATTCTCAGTCCTTTTGCTCAAAGTTTCCTTGCTTGCATATCATTTTGTCCTTTATCTTTATAGAGATGTTTTCTGCTCTCTGGTTAGTGATTTATCCTAAATCAAGCTTCATCTTCATGTCTGTTTAGCACGTCTGAAGCAAAACTTGTGGATGAAATTGCTGTTGACACATTCAAGAAGCTGAATGATTTGGCTCCAAGTGGGAACGAAGGTCTTGTGGGAGTCGAATCGCGTCTACGGATTCTAGAAAAGCTTTTATCATGCAATGAGTTGGATTCTGTTCAAATCATTGGCATTGTTGGGATGGGTGGGATTGGTAAAACTACTCTTGCTGATTGCTTGTATGGACGGATGCGAGGACAATTCGACGGTAGCTGCTTTCTTACAAACATCCGTGAAAATTCAGGTAGAAGCGGATTAGAATCTTTGCTGCAGAAACTCCTCTCTACACTACTAAATGATAGAGATCTTGAGATTGGAGCTCCTGGATATGCACATGAGAGATTTGAGCGCCGGCTTAAGAGCAAGAGGCTGCTTATTGTGCTTGATGATGTGAATGATGAAAAGCAAATAAGATATCTTATGGGGCATTGCAAATGGTATCAAGGAGGAAGTAGAGTTATTATAACTACTAGAGACAGTAAACTGATCGAGACTATCAAAGGACGGAAATATGTGCTCCCAAAATTGAATGATAGAGAAGCCCTGAAACTCTTTAGTCTGAATGCATTTAATGGTTCTTGCCCTTCGAAAGAGTTTAAGAGTTTGACAAATATGGTTCTGGATTATGCTAAAGGCCACCCTTTGGCTCTTAAAGTGTTAGGATCTGATCTTTGTGAGAGGGATAATCTGTACTGGGAAGCTAAGCTGGATAGACTGAAGAGTATATCACATGGAGATATATACGAAGTTCTGGAAACAAGCTATGAGGAGCTTAACTTTGTGCAGAGGAATGTTTTTCTGGATATTGCATGTTTCTTCAGATCAGAGAAGGTGGATTACGTGAGAAGCGTTCTGAACGGTCATGGTGTCGATGTGTCTAGCGTGATAGAGGATCTAATTGACAAGTGTTTGATTACTCTTTCTAATAATCGCATCGAGATGCATGACATGTTGCAGACGATGGGCAAGGAGATAAGCTTAAAAGCAGAAACCATAACAATAAGTGACTTTAGGTGGCTATCACAGTATGGCATCCATAGCAAATGGTATATCAGACTATGGGATAGTGCAATTTCGTGACTTGCTGACCAAAGGCTTGGTAATGGTATATCTTTGGTGATATTTTGTCATATACCATTAGTCTTATAATTTAGCCTCTTGCTTTGACTTAACCATTGTGTATCTACCACTTGATTCATAGGGAAGTAACAAGATTAGAGGGATTTTCCTCGACACATTAAAACTAGGAGCAATGCGTTTAAGTGCCAAAGCTTTCAAAGGAATGGACAATCTCAGATATCTGAAAATTTATGATTCTCGTTGTTCTCGTGGATGTGAAGCGGAGTTTAAACTGCGCTTGCGGAAGGGGCTTGATTTCCTTCCTAATGAGCTTACATATCTACACTGGCATGGATACCCGCTACAGAGTATGCCTGGACTTCGACCCCAAGAACCTTGTAGACCTTAAATTGCCACATAGTGTATTAGAAGAAATTTGGGACGATGACAAGGTATATATATATGTTTGTGTAGTTTTCATCAGTCGTAAGTCAAACTCTTGAATGCTGATTTGGATATATGATTTGACTTGTGGTTGTTTTTTTTTTTTTTGTCACAGGATGCTGGAATGCTCAAATGGGTCGACCTCAGTCACTGCTTGAATTTACGCCTGTGTGCAGGTTTGGCTAATGCTCAAAATCTTGAGAGATTGAATCTAGAAGGATGTACAAGTTTGAAGAAGCTGCCATCATCAATGAATTGTTTGGAGAAGCTTGTTTACCTCAATCTCAGGGACTGCACAAGCCTTAGGAGTCTTCCAAAAGGATTAAAATATGAATCCTTGCAAACTTTTATTCTCAGTGGCTGCTCTAGCTTAAAGAAATTCTCACTGATCTCCGAAAATGTTGAAGTTCTACTTTTAGATGGCACTGCCTTAAAGAGTCTTCCCGAGCCCATTGAAACCTTGAGAAAACTTGCTTTGCTGAATCTGAAGAACTGCAAAAAGCTGAAGCATGTTTCTTCTGATCTTTATAAGCTGAAATGTCTACAAGAGCTGATACTCTCAGGCTGCTCACAGTTAGAGGTTTTTCCGGAAATCAAAGAAGACATAGAATCTTTGGAGATTTTACTTCTGGATAATACAGCCATCACTGAGATGCCAAATATGATGCATTTGAACAATATCAAGACATTTTCGTTATGTGGAACTAAGAGTGAAGTTTCTTTTAGCACGTCCTTCTTGCCACCTCCATTGAGCTGCTCTCAGTTAACAGATCTTTACCTCTCAAGGTGCAGTCTCTACAAACTCCCAGATAATATTGGCGGTTTTTCCTCATTGCAGTCTTTGTGCGTAAGCGGAAACGACATCGAGAATCTACCAGAGAGCTTCAACAAACTTCACAATCTGAAATGGTTTGATCTAAAGTATTGCAAAATGCTAAAGTCTTTACCAGCCCTTCCACAAAACCTGCAATATCTTGATGCACACGAGTGCGAATCACTTGAAACTTTGGCATATCCATTAACGCCTCTCACAGTAGGAGAACGCATCCATTCTATGTTCATCTTTAGCAATTGTTACAAACTGAACCAAGATGCACAAGAGAGTCTCGTGGGTCATGCTCGAAACAAAAGTCAGTTGATGGCTAATGCATCTGTTAAACGTTACTATCGGGTATTGTTTCTTTTTATCCTTCCCTCTCCCTCCTCTCCCCTTCACCATTGTATTGAGAACATAATTTTATCGTATGTCTTTTGCAGGGATTCATCCCAGAGCCTCTGGTTGGAATCTGTTACCCGGCGAATGAAATACCGAGTTGGTTCTGCCACCAAAGACTAGGACATTCACTAGAAATCCCATTGCCTCCGCATTGGTGTGACACTGGCTTTGTTGGACTTGCCTTATCTGTAGTTGTCTCGTTTAAAGACTACAACGACTGCGCAAAACGTTTCTCGGTAAAGTGTTTGGGAAAATTCGAGAACCAAGACGGTTCCTTCACAAGATTTGATTTTACTCTCGCAGGCTGGAACGAACCGTGTGGATCACTTTGCAATGAACCTAGAAAGCTTACTTCTGACCATGTTTTCATGGGATACAACAGTTGCTTCCACGTGAAGAAACTCCATGGAGAGAGTAATAATTGCTGTTACGCGAAAGCTTCGTTCGAGTTCTATGCGACGGATGGTGAAACGAGGGAGAATCTAGAGATTTGTGAAGTGATTAAATGTGGGATGAGTTTAGTGTATGTTCCTGATGATGATGATTGTATGTTGTTGAAGAAGACAAATCTAGTTCAGTTGGGTTTGAAGACCGAACCAATCTGTTCATACGGTCTTGATGATGTCACTGATGATGTTAGACCGAAGAGGGTGCGATGTGGTGGTGATAAAGAACCAGATTGTAAGAGAACCAAGGAGGAGAAGATATTAGTGTGATCAAATTTATATTTATGTATTTAAATGTTAGTAATTATCGGTAATAATGTTATTCAATTCATCAATTTTTCTTATAAAAACTAGAAAATCTTGACCGTTATGTTTAGTTTACGTAAGAACGAATATTTGTCAAAATCGTTAGATATTTTATTTTTATGTATGGGCAAAATTTAGGGTGGAGGAAATTGCAATTGCGGGTCCACACGTAATACGGAATGTCGACCGCAGTGGATTATGCGAGGTGGAGGGATATGTATGGTCTCATATTCGCTTTAAGAGTAAGTATGAAATCACGAAACTCGCGACAAACTACTTTTAAAAAGGCAACTAATCTCCCATTATGTGACACGTGTATGTACAGCCACCTCAACTTTTGATTTGCAAATCGTTGAGTCCCTTCTTAAACAACTGGTCGAGTGTGACAGAGTCCTCGTTGTAAACACGGTATAAGTAATCAAATGTTTATATCCTTAACAATTGAATACTTTTAACATATTTAACTTTAAATGCATGCAATTTGAAATATATTTATGATTTTTTAAAGGTATTTGATTGAAGCAAATTCTTGCCCAGAGCCGGCTCTGAGTTTTAAGTGGCCGCAAGCTAAAAAAAATAAATAGACCGTTTTTTAACTAAAGAAATTGAATAATTTTATAACTAAAAGAAAAAATAGCCGCAAGTTAAAGAAAAATTTTATGTAAAAAAATAAGACCACAAGCCTATACTTGTACTGCTTGGCCTCAGGGCCAGCTCTGCTCTTACCGGTACTCTTTTGTTATATCTAAATAACAACTTTTCACTCCAATGTTCCCATATGAAGTAACTGATAAAAAATCTTCTGAGTCCATTCTGATCTAAGTATTTCAGGTTAAATATTTTATTATTATTTTTAGTCAACTGATCGGTTAAATTTAAAAAAAAAAATATATATATATATATATTAATTTTTTTTTGTCACAATATATATATATATATATATATATATATATATATCAATTTATTTGAAAGGGAATAGCAGTAAGAAAATAAAGTAAGAAGGAAAGGAAGAAATCAATAAATAAATAAAATGGAAAGAATGGAACAAGCGTCAAGCAAATGTCATAAACAACCAAAAGAGAAAGCTCCAATCTGTTTCACTTTGATTGTCAAATCAAATCACACTAAAAAATCTTCTCTATTTGTTTTCGATTCTTCTTCACGCTCAGGTCTCTTTCGATTCGTTGATTAATTCTATTTTTCCATCACTGGGTTTTCCTCCCGTCTTCTCAGAAAAACGATCGGAGAATCCAGTCGATTAGTAATCTGAGGTCTTTTTTTTGGTTGCCGTCTCTGTTCCGATGACTTATTTCGAGGAGGACGATACGGTTTCTGAGCTGCGAGTGAGAGTTGAAGAAGACGAAATTGAGAAATCAGGGCATTATGCTAAACTCAGTGACGAGTTTGAAGAACAGGGGCGACAAGAAGCAGAACAGGAAGAGGAAGAAGATTCATCTCCGTGTTCTTCTTCTTCTTGTGGTCGGAAAAGATCTGTTTGGTTCTGGATCAAGCTTGCTCTTTTATTCACGTTTCTAGCTGCTTTGGCACTCGTTGCTTACAAATGGATCGCTCCTTTAATCATGGATAAGGTTTTTTTTTTTTTAATTTTCTCCATTAAAATCTAGTTCCTTGTTCCCAGAAATTCTCTGTTATGCTCTTTGGAAAGTTTCGTTCTTTTTCAATTGAGTTTTGATTAGGGTTTCAACAACTGTTCATCACTTCTCCAGTAAGATCCTAAGTACTGGCCACAAGTCTGTATGATTCTTGTAGAGCAGAAAGTAGGCTCCTTTATAAGATTGGTTCATGCGAATTGGATCTCTTTATAGCTGCAATTAGCTCAGGAGTGTGGAATTTTTCCAATCACTTATAGATGGAAAGTTAAGCAGAATTGTTCTGTGGCCTAAATCTATACATCTTGATAGATCCATTCAGTAACATCTTTTAAGCTCTGTTACTAATTATGGCATTATCCTTTTTTTTTTGTTTGTTTCCTTTGTTGCAGGAGCTTATCCCTCTCATAAAATGGGAGATGAGGACATTTACACACCCTGTTCTCGGTCTTTTTGTTTTCGCATCTGTCGCACTATTCCCTATAATACTTCTTCCGTCTACACCGTCAATGTGGGTGGCTGGGATCACATTTGGTTATGTCTATGGCTTCCTCCTCACTTTTCCAGCTATAGCTATTGGTGTGTCTCTTCCTTATTTCATCAGCTATCTCTTCTGCCACAAAATCCAAGTATGTTTCTCACCTTGAAAATCAGTTTATATATCCCTGAGCAACAGTTTCTTCATATTTGATGAAACTGAATCGTATTGTTTGCAGGGTTGGTTAGAAAGATATCCGGATCAAGCTGCAATGTTGAGAGCTGCTGGTGGAGGTAACTGGTTTCACCAGTTTCGAGCTGTAACCTTAATCCGGATTTCACCGTTCCCTTACGTTGTTTATAACTACTGCGCTGTTGCTACTCGTGTAAAGTACGGTCCTTACATCGCAGGCTCTATCTTAGGCATGGTGCCAGAGAACTTTGTCGCAATCTATACGTAAGTTTGTAAAAATGTCTTGCAGTTTCACTAGTTATGGTTTAGTTTAGCATTTTGATAGTTTTGTGTGTTTTGCAGAGGGATTCTTATAAGGAAATTGGCAGATGCATCAACTGAGGAACAAAAGGGAATGTCGATTCTTCAGATTGTCCTCAACATTCTTGGTTTTGTAGCAACTGTTTTGACAACTGTTCTCATCATGAAGTATGCAAAAAGACAGCTCGAAGTTATGAAGAAGGAAGAGGAAGCTTTGTTGCTGCAGTAATTGCAACGACCTCGGAAGCTTTTGTGTCTGCTTCTTCCCAAAGTACAGGTTCATTACAAGATGTGAAAGAACTCTGGGTTTTTGGTTTTTGGTCACTGGGTTCTTCAACTTCTGTCTTTCTTTTTTTTTCTGCTAAGAAAAGAAAGGGTTAAAAAAGAAAGATAATAATATGACTACAAGCACAGAAATTTTTAACTTACTAACACCATCTAATCTTATTCATGTTCTGTTTTTTGTTTTTGTATGTTTAAAAGAAAAATACAATGACAATAACTCATATATTGTTATTAATGTGGTATATATAATAAAGTTAAAACAATTTTCTCCTTCTTTGTCTAGTTTATTTTTCTTAAATCATGATTATTTTGTTTGTAAAAAGAAAAATTGTTTGTAACTTCGATCTACATCTTTCAAACCAACCAATACACTCAAAATGGCAATTAAGAAAGTCTTTTGTAAAATTTTGGTCATACCATTTCTTATTTTACAAGAAAAAATTATTTCTCATTTTCTATATTCTTAATACATTGAAATAACAAGAAGATTTTAACATTTCTGATAAGCTTCCTATTAAGACATTATATAGATAAATCCTTTTCCAACAAAATTTATGGCCCCTTAATGACTATATAACAGAGGGAGGATTATACAAAATCCTCCAGAATTTTTAGGTTGATTACGAAGTAAGTGATAGGCAGACTTCACTGAATAGTGCCCATCATTGAGAGGCTCAATAACCAAGCTTACTCCAATTGGGTAAGTCTTCAGAAGAGTAACTTGAGCTCCAAGTTTCCGTGGTCTTGGCTTGCCTTTTCCTACATTTACTGAAATTCCGACTAATGAAAACAAATTGGTGGTACATTACCCACAATCGGGTATGCTCAGTAAGCAAATAGATGCTATGTTTTCACTAGAGAAATTTTTGCTAATTTCTTCTTTCACTAAGCTCATTAGCTGCTAATACTTTGTCTATGAATTTGCAAAGCTTATTATAAAGTCATAGTTAAGAGTGGAGACAATTATAATTTAACCTCAGAAAAATTCCAAAACAGAAGATTGCTATATAAGCATCTCACAGAAAAGCTCCTAAAGATTTTTATATTCAAAATCAAATCATTAAACTAGAATGCAAAGATGAAAAACACAATACCAAGAAAAAGAAATATGTGATTCTAGTTTAGAGATTGACTGAAACAGAGTATAAAACATCATCGAAATGAGAGAAAAGATGATCACGTGTGATGAGAGAATTTGACCACTCAACGAAGCCCCAAAGATCATCTCCTTCCTCGCGTCTCTCCAATGAAATCTCTGCACACCAAATCTCCGGATTCCCAGCACCCCACTTAGACACACGCCTCCAAAATACCAAAATGTTCTCACCAAAATGTCTCAGCTTTCTAAAAGGAGGCTCGGGTCTACTACAAACCGACAAAAACGGCTCTACAGTAGAAACACCCATCCATAAAGAATTCAAACCCTTGACTCGCTTCCATTTAAATTCCTCTGGCTCACACCAAAACATATCCCCCCAGAAATCACAATAGAATACAAATTTCTCTATTATTACACAATGACAACTTCCGGAAAACGGCTCCGAATCCTGACTTCTAGTAACTCTTCCCCATTTACCTTCACTGGTCGAGTAATAAAAAACATTTCTTGTGAATTGAGTCATTGCATAAATCTTCTCCTCTATCACGAGCCCCCTTTGCATCCAATCATCATCGTCTTCTCCCTTATCGGTCATTGGCACCAGTCTATTTCAAGTTTGAGTTTTTGGGTCAAATACCTCTCCCCAGGTTGAGCAATCAATATCTCCGTTGCCTCTGCCTCCTATCACGTAAATTTTACCGTCTATGACTCCAGACGCGGCTGAAGCACGAAAAAATGTCATGGAAGGAGCTTTACTCCACGTGTTAGTACGACAATCCAAGAGCCAAACATCATTCGACTTAGACTTGGACTTGCAGTCTATCCCACCGATTACATAAATCCCCCAACCAAGAACCACAACGGAGGAGTATAACAAAGGTTGACGAGGGAACAAAGGGATAGGAATTAGCCGAGAGATGGCGCCTAGGGTTTTTTCAAAGCTGAGGATATACCATCGTGTTGGAGCTGACGGATACCGGTTGCGTATTACTATTAGGGTTTGATATGTATAATTCTTTTATGATAACTTCAATAGTAGTAATTTATACTAGTTACTGAAATCTATTAAATATTGTTTCTACATATTCATTCGTTTGGATTTTTTTGTACATATTTTAGTATATTTAATATTTTGGGGTTAACATTAGCATATTTTGTTAATTGCTTTTCCTTGTAATTTTCTAATTCTAATATAGGTTAGGTTTAATTTGTTGTAATTAATATACGGCTCTGTTTAGTGAATAAATCATCTTCTTTCTTCCGCTATAACTTTGGTATTTAATATAAATATATCATCATATTTTGATGTATGCATATGTATAAATCTACACGTTTATGTATGCATGTATATACGCATGAATGCATGTGTGCATGTTAGTGTGTACGTATATGTATGTGTGTGCATGCATTCTTTAAGTGATTCGAAAAACCCAATGAGAGAAGTCGATGATTTTGAGATACGCCAAATTAGGCTTTAAAGTCGGTTGACGCAGAAGAAATAGGCACAACATGAAAAGCTAAAGGCAAAATCAAATGACCAATTAGAAGAAAAAGATTGAAGAGGATATACTTGGAAGAAAAGACAAGACCGTTCAAAGGTGACATAAAGTACAAACCGGGCCTTTCACATGTACTCAGGAAATTTTTCAAGATCAAAATAAATGAGAAAACCAACACCAAAACAAACTTGGAACTTGGAAGATCACATTCTGATTATATGCATAAAAGGCTAACTCATTCGAAGATTTATTCACTTATCTTTTTTACGAGCTGCCCTGTATTTATGACACAAAACACTAATGATGTTTAGAAATATCAACATGCAGTGGAATTTATAAACCCATGTGTCCAAAACATACCTTAACTCAGAAACAATAAATCAAACTCTGAAAGTGCCATATACAGAATCATCCTTGACTATTTCACCTGCAAATTCAAGTGACAGTGATGATTTATCACACCTCGAGAATACACAAAAGTAACAAAATGCCGTGTTTTGAAAGGGATTTTTGTGTAACAACATTAATAAATAGCCGCTGGAAGGAAAAGAATTCACGTAGACATGGAGATCCCTTCCCTTTCCACCAGGTCGTTTTATAAAGCTTATTGACAATCACGTTTGAAGCAATTCTAGGCATGGGGTATAAGGAATTCGAGAAGCCTTTGAAACTTGGTTTGACTCAATTTGCAAGGAGCTGATACCACACTTTTTTTATTTTAGTTTACACTCTCTCTCAAAACATTCAAAGTTGCACATGATATAAAAACAATTTTTATTTTGAATAAATATTACATTCAATTAAAAAACAAGGATTTTTGTGCATTTCAGTTTGCCGGAAAATGTCTTTTTTTTTTGTAGCTTGTACTAGGCATAAAGAAAACTCTAAAAAAAAACATGAAATCCCTTATATAAATTTGAACTAACCTAAAGAAAACTCAAAACCATGAAATCTTTATAGTCTCTTCTAATAGATATTTATCTCCCTAGAGGTTTTTTGAAAAAAACATATTTAATATTTACCTTAAAACTGATGATGCCAGAGATTTACAAATGTCATAGACGGAGATTTATCTAGAAAACGTTAGAGATTTGAAAATACAAAAGAGAGTTTTCCTGAAAAGATTAATTAGAAACTTAGTGATCATAAGTAAAAAGACTAGTCAAACGTAACAATAACATACCATCTCAAACGATCAATGACAGGGATACTATGTTCGATTTCTTTCCACATTAAGTTTCCATAATCAAGCAGATAATATATATCTATATATATATATATATATATATATATATAAAAGATCTTCATAATGAAATATTTCCACTTACCATCAAGATTGGAATGATTGCAAGAAGCACGCAAAAAAAGCAACACGTACGTTATGTAAAGTAGATAGATGAACAAACAACCCTGAAAAAAACAAGAACTTTTTTTTGGTTTTTTAGCCGAACTTTAAACTTCATTAAATCAAGGAACAATGTTTACAAGTGCTAGCATCTTTTGCAATCGTGTCCGCCTCGGAGTTAAGGAGCCGGGGAACATGGACAAATAAAACCATAGAGAAGGATAACGCCATATGACGTATATCGTTAACAATTACGTGAATCTCTATATGAATCCTGAGAGTTAAGAGTATTCACGAGGGACATCGAGTCCAAAAGAACTTGAATCTCTTCATATCCTCTGTCGATCGCTATTAAGAGAGCTTCACGCATCGCCCTGGCTTCTGCTGCTAACTCTGATGAAACGTGGCACCGGGAGCTTGCAAAGCTTTGCACCCGATCTTCATCATTGAACTTGAGTATAATACCCATACCATACGAGAGAGACTCAGCATGCCATGCTGCATCAATGTTGCACTTGATTTAACTAGCTCAGTGTAAGGAACAGAGGTGGGAGGGTTGATATGCGGAGGAGGAATAGCCTTTTGAGCTTCTTGCCAAATTTTGGCTTCAGCTATGGCCTTTGTGATGACTTCTTGCTCTGAGAATACCATATTGGAGAAGATCCTGTGATTACGTGCCACCCGTAGGTTCCAGCAGATCCATGCCGAAAGAAAAGCCGAATGGAGGCCCGATGGAGGGAGGGTCACAAGGGATGCTGCTCGGTCAAGGAAATCCAAGACTTGTACGGTGTTGAGATGGTGCTGATCCCGGAATGGGGCTAAGTCCCAAACATTTTTTGCAAACGGACAATCTCGAAGGACATGGGAGATAATTTCCGGCACCCCACAAGTTTTGCATTCGCTCTCAATTCCAAGATTTTCTTCCAATTTTGATAAAGTCAGAGACCAAAAGGTCTTTGCTAGCTAGGGGAGCTGCCCCCGTGGGGCGAAAAGGGTGTATTGAATTTAACCAAGGGTCGTCCGTCCCATACCCGAATGGACTCACCGTTTCCCACCAACCAGCCCATGCCTCTGCGCAGAACTTCCCTTCCAGCAATGATGCCCCTCCATCCATGGGAAGGATTAGAGGGGAGCATACAGTGCATAAACGGGATGTTGTGGCTGTACTTACCCAACAGAACTCTAGAGACCTATGCCTGCGGATGAGAAATGAGCCGAGCTCCAAGTTTGGCTCATTCATTAATCAGTAACATACTATTCGTATCACTAACATACTAACATTAGGTGAGAAGGAAGAATTAAATTGTATAGATGTGTCTT